AAAGTGAGATATCTGTACATAAATAAGATTATAGTATAAACTCTCAAATAGGCTGATTAAAGACGAGTGTGGATTTACATTGAATGAGAAAGAACCATTATAAATTTTGTCCACTTTTCTAAACTTCAACTTTTTCATTAGTAAAAAATCTTTTAATTGAGCATTGCCTTAATCTTAATTGTAACTTTTTGATTAATTTTTGAATAACTCAATTGAATACTTAATATAATTGTCAATTAGATATCATTTTTCTATAACTTTTTATTATTGTAGTGTACATAATTAATTTTATTAATGTAAGCCTTTGATAATATTAGAGGGGCATAATTTTTTTATTGCATCCTTAACTATAAATTTGGTTGTTATGTTCAGGAGTGGTAGAACTTAGTTCATATTAAGGGGTCTTGGTCCCTCCAATTTCTTTTGCACGTAAATTAATGTATACTTTTTTAAAAAAAAAATTATTACATTTTATATAATTGGCATTCCAAAATTTTAGTACATCTATTGTGGTATCTCTAAAATTTTAGTACATCTATTGTGATATTTCCAAAATATATCTTCAAGATCATTGTAGTTGAGCATATCAGTAAATTAATGATAAATTACATTAACTAAGTATTTTATTTTCCTAAATCCTTGAGAGTTGAATTTCTTAAATATCTTTTGAAATTTTAGAGAAATTATTTTGTTCAAGTTATCATAGCGGTGGTATTGTTGTTAAACACATTTTTTGATGGTGAGAAGTATGTCTGTAAAAATGTTAAAATGAAAATCTTACGGAGGCCATCTATACAAAAAGAACCATCTCATTTTGGTTGGAAAAGGATTTTAACAATGAAAATCTTATTAACATTCTATGTTAATTACTTGAAAATAACAACATTACATATTATCCAAGTGATAAGGTAAATCACATCAAAATCAAAATATGAGTATTATTCTAGCTGGAAACCAAGAAACTCCATTGATTTGAAATGATAAAACCTTCAGATCATCTGGTGAGAAGGAAGATAATGAAGAAACAAACATGAAAGCGGAATTAAAAAAGAGGTGAGTGAGAATGATTTTTCTTTACCTTATAATTATGATGAGTTGCATGAAGAATTCAAATAATTACATGAAAAATCTTTTGCTTATATATTTCTGGGTTGTAACACTAAAATCTCAATTCTATTAAGAAATTATATCTAGATCAAACTAGTGATTGATTGTATATTTCTTCTCTCCATTTTTATCTATCTTTTTTCTAGATAACTTACAATTCATCAAATGGCTTCCTGATATAATACCTTTCATGTAAGTTTTTTTTTTCTTTTGAACAGCAGAGAGTAAATCTGTATTTATAATGGTACATTTGAGATGTACCAACCCTTTTACATTTATGTACAAACATAGTTAACCTGCTATATTCTAACTTTTATGAAAACCCAGTGAACATATCTCTTTTACATATTCAAATCAAAATTGGTTTTAGGGAAATTAAAAACTTTTGGGGGAAAAGTTTTTCAAAACAATACGTGGAGATATTAAGAATTTTTATGAATCTAATTCATTCAATCTTTTTGGTTACCAACATCTGCTTTAGTTACTAGATTATTCACTATTTTACTTACATGATGTAAGTGATGTTTTTTTAATTGATTGATTCAAGAAAATATTTGTTGTGGACCGACCTCTATTCTATATTCAAGAAAATAATTTTTTCTTTGGAAGACAGATTTTACCAAAAGAAAATTGATAAAATTCTTTTTGTCTTAAAGGACATGTTGGTAAAATTATATTTGGTGCCACTGATTCTTTTTAATAAGATTTTGAAAAGTAAATTTGAGGTATTGATGATAGAAAAATTCAGTGTTCCCTGTATTAAAGTGACATCTTCTTAATAATTATATTATTATAATATGAAGGTGACACATACTCCCACGAGTACCCTCTAGTAAGATGATACACCAACATTTATTTTTGACAAATTTTATAATTTATTTTTGACATAAATTTTATAATGGAAGAATGAGAAATAACATATGAGTGTAGAAATGTGTGAAAGTAAACTTTTACTGTCAAAGTAAACTTTTACAATTTGATAAGGTCTCATTTTTAATAGGAAAAAAATATTTTGATATATATTTTTTACAAAATTTTAATATAATATATGTGTATTTTTTATTAATTCATTATTTATTTGTTGTGTTATGTACTTTAAATTTAATGACAAAACGACTCATGTTATGCTAAAATATTGTAAAAAAAACTGTGTTAATATATAATTGTCCTTTTTAATAATCTTTAAGCTTTCGTGTGTTTATCTATGGATTAAAGTAGTGTTATGCTCCCTGCTTTCCCCTTCCTGCTAATCTTTACATCACTTACATCATGTGGGTGTTGAATTGTGCATTATTCATGGTGAGCATGCAGCAATAAGTAGTTGTAAGTTTTTTTTTATGACTTCTTAGATGTTTATTATACTAAATATTATCATTTGTTTTGTTTTGGATGTTCAAACCTAAATGGATTTTATATTTTCATATTTAAACCTATTCTGCCTTTTTCCTCTCGTTGTTTAGATCATCTATTGGGATACAAAAATATGTTTCAGACGATCCTGGTATATCTATAGAGATGTGCAGTTCCCATGAAGAAACGTGAGGCAATGTTTGTTTGCTTTTCGCAGTGGGTGCAATATTTTGAGCATATCTTCAGCTGTAGAAATTGGTTTAACACAAAACTGCACCTCAAATTATTGCCTCTCATTCACTAAGTGAATCAAGATTCCTTGCTTGGGAGCACATATAATGAAAGTCACTGATAATAGAAATCATGCTTCTCTGATCATTCTCACCTATGAAATCAGATCGTTAAAAAATTAAGAATTTGTTTGCGAAACATACAGAACCTCTGCATGTCTTGGTCGAATATCAATTGGTAAAATTCATTACTCGTGTTATGAAATGGATCACCCTTTCTACAGGTAAAATCTATACTGTGTTATGAAATTCTACAATCAAGTAATGATCATGTTCCTTAAACCATTTACTTTCTGTGCAGGTTTTGTGATTCATAATAGAAGATGCATCAAGACAGATAAATGGTGTGGAGAATTTTTTGCATAGTTGAAGACCTAGTTTTAGTATGGTTTTGTTTTCGTTAATTTGATGTAACTCTACTGAGAGCGAGTATTCTTGTTGGCACAGTTCTTCATATATTTTATGGTTTTGTTTGTGAAAAAATGGGGTAACTAGATTTAGCTTTTTATATTGAGAGTAATTTCCTTCTTACAACATGTTCTAATTCTTGTTTCAAAAATCGTAAGTATTACTGATTGTTGCATCTTATATTCATCGATCCTCAAAGTAAAAAGAAAAACAAAATATTGCTAAAGAAAGTCAATTGATTGAAGAAAAATATTTCTGAAAACCCTAAGATGGTTTCGCGTGCTTGATTCTAGTCGTCATCCTAACATATATGCGCTATGTCAGAAATAAATAAGTTATTCCAATTTATATACAAAGAAATATATACATATAAGAAAAAAAATGCTCCTTATACAATTTTTCAACTAAGTTCAAATACTAACTTATCAATCATCTCTAAATCAAACATATCTTTTTGCCAAAACATCAAGCCTCTGATACTGCATAGTTTTATGTAAACAGATCTAATATGGTAGTAATTATTGTATGGGTATAACAAGAAAAGAATTATACTTTTTTTTTCTTTTTTCCATGCCTCTCAATTTTTATTCAACAGATCAGTCAAATGTTTCTGACATTGAATCATGTGACTTTGTCGATAAATTTACAACAGAAAAGAAAAACACAACCATCACCCACACAGAGAAAAGCAATCATCCTAGTAACTCAACTTATATAAATAAGCAATTTGATTTTCTCATATATGTTGTGTTTTAGGTTTTCCTCGGGATGTTTTTGTTGATTGTGATGATCATTTGACACTGATCGTTTGAAGATCTGTGATGTTTAATGTTGATGGGTTTGAGGTGTCATAAAGATACAATTCTTATTTATTTCTCTTACTGCATGACTCGACATTGGTCTCTACTTTTTTTTTTTCAAGGTAATGAGGTTCAATTATACACCGGAAAAAGCAAAAGAAAAATTACAAGAATTTTCGTAAACAAATTAACAAGGTGATTTTTAAAATTGAAATTAAATTAAATTAGTCCGCCGCGTGGAGAGTCGTTTCCATCATGCAACACCTTCCACTCATCACAATAAATAAAAGAAAACATTTATTACATAAACCAAATGACATAAGTTATTTAATATTTGCTTTTAAATTATCATACGTTTAACTTTTCATAATTGCTTATTTATGATATAATTGAGTGGAAAAAAGAAGATAAAGAGAATACGCAACATTGACAACGGTACATTTTGTTGTTTAGTTAAAGAAAAAACGAAAAAAATAGGAAAGAAAGAAAAATATCCTTTAAAAATAAAAATTTTTAAAAATTCATTTTATTCTCTCTTCTTTTCAAATTCTAAACTTTCTATCTCGTATTACTTTCTTTCCTTTGAACTGAACAGGAGATTTCAGTACTCATCTCAGTAGAATTATATATATTTTTTTTAAAATACATATTTAACATATACTTTTCATTATTGTGTTGGTTTCACTAAATAACTCGTGCTTTATTTAACGAGACTCTGACATAATTAATTGATTTTATGGTTCTCAAATTATATTTCATTTAGTTTTTATATGGAAGTCTAAATACACGTTTTGTACAATACCTCATCAACAATTAATAAAATTATATTACAAGGAAAATATTAATATTTTTTTCTATTTATCTCAGACAGAAGAATCCAAAAAAATTATCAAGTTTTTTTTTTTTTGTTCTTCTCTTTTTTACTTTTGACTTTTAGTGGAGGACAAGTCATACATGCAAAGACATAGAGGGTGTGAAGGAGTTAGGGCCATATATAAACAACCTAAAGGCTCAGAAATCTGCCATAGTTGTAATTGCAGTTTGCTTAGTCTGCTTCAGAAATGGATTCTTCAATGGCAAGTGCTGGTGGTTCTGCTGATGAAGGTTCTCAAAGCCATAACAATGGAAGGAAAACCTCCTACAAACGTCTCTCTTCTTCTCAAACATCAAGACTTGAAAGGTAATTAGGTTAACATTCTTTTCTTTCAATTTAATTAATTAATACTTTGATTTGCTTCATTTTGAGGGAGCATTTTGCTTTTTCGGTGAAACAAATTAAAGAGTAAACACATAATTCGTCTAGATTTAATTCTGCATGTTCCTAAAAATCTTTTATTTTTTTTAAATCAAGCTCTATAGATCTCTCTCCACATTTAATTCCTCTTGATTTTGCTTTTCTGGGGTTCGTTAATTTTAATTTTTTTTTTTTTGTGAATTTTGGTTTGATCTATTTGCTCAAGGGTTTTTGTATTAAATTTGGTTTAATGTGGTTTTTATTGTCTCTAGCATCACGATTAATGTACCCATATTAATTTGTACCACGCCCTTTGCTTGTTTGGGTATGTTGTGGAAGGAAAATCAACTTTTTGCGTTGGGTCGAATCGATTTCGATTAAGAGAAGTGGAAAATTTTAATCTCTGCGAAGTAAAATTGATTTTAGATTCGGATTAACAAATTGTATTTTTTGCCTCCGATCTTTATAATTTAGAAAATAATTTTCACAGTTTTCAGTCTAAAGCACACTTTTCACTGCAAATACATGACCAATTTAAACATGCATAGCAAGTTTACTTCACCAACAAAAGAAAAAGTATTCTTCTCTTTCAAAATATGAAACCCTAAATCAAAACTAAATCTTTCAAAATAAATTTTATAGAACTCCAAAACATATGAACCCTCAATTGTTTTAAAGAATCACTTTTGGTGCTTGATTGTAATGATGAATGTCATAATCGTGCACATAAAAACCATAGTGAAATCGATGCTGATAAATTATACTATACAATATATTAACCAATAAGTTTGTATTTTTTTTCAGTCGGCATTTTTTTTAATATTTTACTATTTCTTTTATCTCTTGACTTTGAGACGTTTGCACTATATATATCATTATTTTGTTAAATTGACTGATGCAGTAATTTTTTTCTATCTATACGTGTAATTATAATTAGTATATTTAATGAAGTGTATTATCTTTTTAAATGAATTGTTCTCCTCTTATACAAATCAAATTTAATTTCAATTCATAACTTCTTTTTCCTTCTTACTCAAAATTTCACATAGAGCAAATAACAAATTATTTGAAATGATTATAAATACAACTTAAAGTTAAATTAACCGTAGGCTATGTATATGATTAAGTTGAAGAAGTAACATGTTTTGAACTTATCAAAGGCTTTGATTGTTTTTTCATAATTTAACGACAAGACAAAATATATATTAACACATAATCCGAAGATATGTTTCTTTCTCTCTTGTGTCTAGCTGAATAGAAATATTACTACTACTACTACTACATATATATTTATTTATTTATTTTTATTTAGTATGCATAACCAACTATTTCTTAAGTATAATCATCATACATTATCTCTTATATCAAAGACATACGAAAGCAGTTATATATAACTCATCGTCAATTTTATAATAACATAAATGATTATGTTTTTATAATAATGGATTATTTTTCTGCTCATTTTTTATCATTTTATTCGAAATTGATTTAAGGAGATATTTTTAATCAACAAGAAAAACAGAATATAAAACTGTATATAAAAGTCTCAGCACATGTTCTTTTTGGTAATGCATTTGTTAGTAAATACTCTCGCTATTGGATTATTGAACATCTTTGACTATAAAAGAAAATTACAATATATTACAAGAAAATTATTAAATATGAAAAAAGTATTGTCTAAATTAATTTTTAATTTAAAATTAAAGACCAATTTAAAATCAATAGTTAAAATTTTGATAGTTAAAATTAGAAAGTAATTTAAATTTAAATTTACAAATTAATTATAATCTTTCATTCGTAATAATGAAAATTATTTTAGATGTGAATAACTTTTATTTAATGATTTGTTTTGCTAAGAAAGAATTAACTATTGGGGTTTATTTTTCTTTATAAAAGGTTCATCAAGGATTGCCCACACCCTGATGAGGCGCAACGACGTCAATTGGCTGCTGAGATTGGTCTTGAGCCAAGACAAATAAAGTTCTGGTTTCAGAATAAGAGGACCCAGATCAAGGTATTCATTCTCTTTAGTCTAATCGTGTTAGTCATTTTGGAAAAAGTGTTTTCCACAGTAACATTTTGTACAAAAATTTTATAAAACTATGAAGTGAAGTGAGAGAAATATCATATACAACTCACCATTTTTGTGCATGTTATACGTAAAGAATCAACACGAGAGAGCAGATAACACTGCTCTTCGAGTTGAGAATGATAGGATACACACAGAAAATGTTACAATGCAAGAGGCCTTGAAGAGTATGCTTTGCCCATCTTGTGGGGGACCACCGTGTCTTGAAGGAGATCGTGAACATGCTATCCATAATATGAGACTTGAAAATATGCACCTAAAGGAAGAGGTTCGTGAAGTCATCCATTGATTCATTTTATATTTCATGTGAATATATACAGTATTTGCTTGCTACTGTTTTAAATTCTAATTGACACATTATTTATTGATGTGATTGGTGTTCAGCATGAGAAGGTGTCTCGTCTACTTTCGAGGTACTTGGAGAGCCAGATGTTACCACCTGATCAGTTCCAACAGGGTTTTTTCCCCATCATAGGATCAAGTTCAAATGCTGCAGGACTTGGAAATCCACTGAACCAAGTGATCGGTGGAAGTTCGAGTCATGATCCAAATCTTGCTTTGCATATGATGGATGGTGGCCATAATTTATTTGCGAGTGAAGGCATAGAAAAAAACCTTATGGCTAAGGTTGCTGCTACCGCAATGGATGAGCTAGTTAGGCTTGTTCGGATTAATGAGCCCTTTTGGATTAAGTCTTCATCTCAAGATGGCAAGCTCTGTCTACTGCTTGAAAACTATCAAAAAATGTTCCTAAAGACCAAACATTTCAAAGGGCCAAACGTGCGTATTGAAGCAACAAAAGAATCAGGAATAGTGAACATTAATAGCCTTCAGCTTGTTGACATGTTTCTTGATTCGGTGAGCATATCATAACCCTTTTTCTGTTGACTAGTTTTCTCTTAGTTTTTATTTAATATTGCAATACTGCTATCGATATGATCGTTGATTTCATGTTTTCAGGACAAATGGGTGAATTTGTTCCCAACAATTGTCTCAAAAGCAGAAACACTGAAAGTAATCGAAAGAGGTTTGCCAGGAAACCGAAGTGGAGCCTTGCAGCTGGTATATATTCTCATGCAAACCTTGCTTTTGTAATTTTATTTCATTTTTTTTAACTATAAGTTTTTAATTTGTTGACAATATATACTTTTATGACAGATGTTCCAGCAAATGCATGTTCTTTCACCCTTTGTGCAACCTCGTGAATTTCAATTCCTTCGTTTCTGTCAACAAATTGAAGAAGGCCTGGTGATAGCAGATGTATCATTTGATTCCTTCCAGCAAAAACCCTCTATTTTTCAGTCTTGGAAACATCCCTCTGGATGCTTGATCCAGGAACTGCCTAATGGGTGCTCCATGGTTAGTAATTTACATATAGTCATCTACTTTAGTAGATCTTCAACAATAAGATTTAAATTTTAGAGGCCATTCTATATAACATGAAGGCCTAACTGATAATGTAATAGTTCACCTAACCTATTGCTTTGTACCACTTGCTAGGGCAATATATTTATTCAACAAATTAAATATGAAGTGAATTTTCTTTTTTTCAGTTTTTCGTTTTAATTTTTAAACACTATTTTATGTACGTGTGAACTAGCTAGTATAAAATAAAAAAATTCAAATTCTTGGACATTATAAATAAAGTTAATCTATAGACTTATATTTCACTGTGGTGAACTGTTAATATGGATGAATTATAGAATTAGTTTGATGCTAAAACAAATAAAACTTTTTGAGCTTATATCCAGATTTAGAAACTCTGTTATCTTTATTTTGGGATTCACACCGATCACTTCATATCACATAATAATGTAATTAATTCCAATAGTATTCAAAGTAAATCACTGATCACTTCATATATATTATGTTCTATGTTAGGTTACTTGGGTTGAGCACATGGAAGTGGATGATAAAATCCAAACACATCCGCTGTACAAAGATATTATTGTTAAGGGCGTTGCATACGGAGCTGAAAGGTGGATTATGGAACTTCAAAGAATTTGCGAGAGATTTGCTGCCTTTTATGTTGAAAAGATACCTGATCATGACGCTGCAGGAGGTCAAACTTTCTCATATTTAACTCAAAACCCTAACACTTGCACATCTATCTCTCTATTATGATCGATGATTATGTCCTTATAGCTAACTAAAAAAGTTTACCTTATCCATTGTTCAGTGATCAATTCTCTTGAGGGAAGGCGAAGTATAATGAATTTTTCTCATCGTATGCTGAAAATCTTCTGTGAAAGTATAACCATGGCAGATGGCTTGGACTTTCCGCTTTGTGATCTGGCGAACACTAGTGGGGTTAGGGTCTCTATTCGCGAAAGCAAAATCAATGGACAGCCAAGTGGCATGATTGTTGCAGCTGCTACCTCCATTTGGCTTCCTCTCCATTATATGAAAGTTTTTGAGTTCTTCCTAGATGATAAAAACCGTGCTCAGGTTCAAAATACTATACCTATAACTTTATTATATGCAGGAATCATTTTATTAGTTAGTTAGATTTCAATTAATCTTGCTTTGCGCAATGATTAATATTTGCTTTTTCTTATATACTCAGTGGGATGTTCTTACCTGTGGAAATCAGGCACACAAGGTGGCACACATCTCAAATGGAATTCACCCTGGGAACTGTGTATCTGTTATTCGGGTAATTTATTCAAATCTTTCTTTTTGTTTCGTGTTTCAACTTTGTTCTTCTAAGACAGGTTAATTAGTTTAATTTTTAGTACAATTACATCAAACACTTTCATAAATTGTATGGTTAAGGTAACAACAACTTTGAATTAGGTTTTAATAAACACAACCCTAAGTTGACCACTGTTTCTTTAAGTATTTGTGTTGATTTGACCTGAATTTTTCATGTGTAGCCATTCATCCCTAGCGAGAACAATGCACTGATTCTTCAAGAGAGTTTCACAACCCCGATGGGATCGTATGTTATATATGCGCCAACTGATGTAGCAACTATGACTGCGGCCATAATGGGAGAAAACTCTTCAATGTTACCGGTTCTTCCATCAGGTTTTGTGATCTGTCCAGATGGAGAACCAAATTCAGCTATGGCATTTGATGGTGCAGATACTGAAAGATTGGGAGGGTCATTGCTGACTGTGGCATTTCAAATACTAGCTAGTGCTGATGGACGCAATATGCCAAATAGGAAAGCTGGAGCAGCTGTCAACTCTCTTTTAACCTCAACTATTCTCAGAGTCAGGGATGCTCTCAACTGCAACAACTAGGACTCGTCTTTTGGTTATGCAGACTTTCTCTACATTGCTCAAGGACAAAACATTGCCTTGTTTCCTTTGCGTTTCATGACAAACCAGTTTGCTTGACATTTTCACTTTCTTTCGTACATTGCTTCACATTTTCAGCTTGTGCTTCAACTTTGCAATGTCTTTGGTGCATTGCTTGACATTTTAAATTAAATAACATGCTGTTTATTATTCCATTTTCCCCATCTATTTATGTGTGGTAATGATTATTATCCTTCTGGTGCCCATTGCTCTTTCAAGAAAAGCTTATCATTTTCTTCTGGTAAGCAAAAATATTTTTGAAAGAAAGTGCAAATGATTCTGCAACCCTACTACAAAGTAGAACCATCATTAGTCCTTAATCAAATTCTCAGACATGGATTCTTTTTCTTCTCATATTTAGTCTGATATACCTCACTTTATATTCTATCCTTCCAAACAACCGTCTTCTTCAGACCCTTTTCAACTTCTTTCTCTTCCATTCTTATATATTTCATATGTTCCAAACACCATTACAGAAAGAAATAACCTATAGTTGGGTTATTAAGATGCTTTGAACACTTTTTACTTAGTTGTGAGTAATGGGTTTTGACCTAGTCCTTCTGATTTTTTTCATTTTGTTTGTCTTTTAATTCATTTTTATGTTTTTCCACGTTATAGATTAAAAAAAAATAGTCAAAAACAGCACATTCTTTCATTTTACTAAGAAACTGTGAATGGGTTCGTGTATACCAATTTTGCGGTGACCAGCTCGCTTAAATTCGATATTGAATTTGTGGAAGTGATGAAGTCAGAAAGATCGTATTGGAAGGAAGAAGATAACGATGATAATAGGCAGGTTGGTAAATTAGGCCAATGTTATTCAAGTGTCTAATGTTTGGACGTTAGACTAATCAGTTTCTGGAGATTTGCATCAATCGTGTCTTAAAGAAAACATTTTCCTTCCAAAAATATTGGTGATTTGTTGAAGTAGGCATTCCATTGTTATATAAAACATAGGTTTAATTTAGCTTACATTTGTAAGAGAAAATTAAGTGCCTAGAATTTCTACAACCGTCACACATTGTCATTTGTCTTAAAAGAATAATCCGAAGGCCTACTTTTCTAGTTTAGCAACTCAGTTAAAAATATATTTAAAGATCTATTTTAGAATTCAAACATAATTCAATCAAAGATTTACCAAATAATTTAGTTATTGACTTAATTTTTAAATAAAGATTAGTCTAACTTAATGTACTCGTCCAATTTTTTTATAAGATAAGTTTTTTATTATTTCTATTTAATTATCATATTAAATATTAAACATTTTATTAATTTATTTAGTATTTTTTTATTTAGAATGTTTGTAAACATTAATAATGATGTGCTAAAACTTGTATAACATTTTTTTATGAGCAAGTGACAAATTTTTTCTCCACCTTAACCATTTAATAGTAAAATTGAAAATTGATATAAAATAAATTACGTTGTAAAATTAATATTATTTGTGTGAAATATAATTAAACGTGATAAATATTTAAGAGGTTGCCTAACTTTGCATTTATGACATAATTAACAATATAATTTTTCTAATAAATAAGGCAAACACAATTTTAAAATTATATTAAGATGTTTAATTAAGTCTTGAGTGTGGAGAATATTAAAACTAAAAATAACAATGTGGGTTGACCTGTTTTGTTTTGGTTTATTCTTTATTTAGTATGCAAAAAGGGGATTAGGTTGACCAGTTTGCAGTAAGCCTTTTAGTAATACATTATTCTCTATTCTAAATTAAAAATGATAATTATACACCTCTTAGTAGTGATTTTTTTCCCCTTAGTTGAAAACAAAAGTGGGAGGTGGAAAAAAAATACTACCTTCAATAACCAAAAATTTTATAATGGCGTTTGGTTGACACCATTTAAACCTTAAAAGAAGAAACAGATTTAACACAAAACAACGATTAAAATCTGTAAAATATTCAAGATTTAACAAAGTCAATCTTAATTTAACAATTCAAAGCTCTTCATACCAAATTAAATAAATTAATCAAGTGATACAACTTAATACCAGAAGCCGAAAAATAACAACACATGAAAAATGCATAAAAACAACACACAAGATACAATTCAACATGCAGATGAAGCAATTAATCAAATCGAATCTCTCCGATGTTCTTGTCTAGAACTTGGACTGTAGATGGTTGACGATAGTCTTGTCTAGATGGAAAGCCTTAACAAGAACGTCGCTATCTATGTCAGGCGTAGACCCAAACACTGCATTACCAATGGTGATGACTCCTGGATTCTGGCTGCTAAGTGCTGCAATGGCCACAGCATTGCCGTACCCAACATTTCTCTGGTAATGGACGAGCCCTGTCGGGAACACAAAAACATCACCCTTCTGTAGAACTTTTCTAAAGTGACGGTTTTCGGGGTTGGAAGTGACGAATCCAACTTCCAAGGTGCCTTCGAGAACGGTCAAGACCTCAGTGGCGCGAGGGTGCGTGTGAGGAGGGTTAGTGCCCCATGGGGCGTAGTCAATGCGAGCCATTGAGATGCCGAGAGTGTTCAATCCTGGAAGCTGAGTCGCAAAAACCTGTGTGACTTTAGACCCAACAGGGTTTGTGGTGTTTCCTGCTATATGAAGACCACTGAAGAGGAAGTCATTTGCTTCGACAAGTTTTGGATCCTTGCATGCCAAGCCATTCACCAACACTGCCACAAGGTGTATTCAAGTTCCATAATAATGCATTAGATGTCAGTTTTTAGAAGAAAAAGAAGAAACTAGTAATACGTGTATATGCTAACCTTGGTCTTTAGGGTCTGCTACACAGAAATCTTGGAGAGCACTGGTATCAGCTGCTAAAGCAACTGAAAGTGAAAGAGACAGAAGTAGCATTAACAACGAGAGATTAGTCATTTGACAAAGAACTAAATATGTATCGCCTGTTGATACTAACTGATTATTGGTGAATGAATATGGCATTGAGTTAAGGTCTATTTATAAACAATATTGTACTACAGAAGATACGATATAAGAAGAGAATAAATCATGTTTGACGTGGTAAGAGTAAGTGATAAGGGTTTTGCTCAAGCTGGCATGTGGAGCGTGTAGAGGGGTTATTTCTTGCTGTGGATATAATGCCGGCAGAAAGCGTTGCTGCCATTCGGCTAGTCATCTAGAAAAGAAGAACAGTATGAAGCCGAAATTCATGACAACCACTGTTTTCGTTTGGACCTTCTGTACATGTTTGTTTTTCCTTTTTTATCTATAGATTCATGTATACAAAGATAATGTAGGGTTAATTCCATCAACTTTTACCGAACCTATCAAAGTCCATATAAATATATGTAATATACAAAAAATAGTAATTATATCTTTAATTATCAATAGTGTTCAAATTATTGATTAATATAATAATATATATATTTAATTAGTTTTGTTAAAATGGATTGTAACCCGCAAGTCAACCCGATTCACAACGGGTTTGAGCTTGGGTTTGAAAAAAATGTAATTTTTTTATGTGGGATAGTTTTCAACCCAACTCATTTAGAACCCGGCTCATCCGGGTTGAACCCATGGTGAGTGAGTTACCAACACACCTAATTTAATTTAATTATTTATTATTTTTTGTTTCAATATTATTAGTTAGCATCTTTTTTATTATATTGTAAATGAAGATAAAGAAGATGTTTCAAGAGAGAAAATTATTATAAATTTATCTATTCAAGACTTTAATATTACAAATGGACGAGCCATAGAAAAATTATCAATGTTAAAATCTTATTTGTTCGCCTTTTGTACTTAGTTTTGGATTACGCTTATTGTATGATTATTTTTTTAAAATGTATTTGAAGTTTAAGATCATTTTAGGGTGAAATTTATTTAGATTTAAATTAAAAAATTATAATTTTATTTTATTTTAAAGAAACTTATAATTAAGAGAGTCAGTGAATCAACTCATTTAATCCATCAACCTGTATTGGATCGAGTTAGGTTCAAATATTTTATCTTGCTAATAAACGAGTCAGATTAGATTAACTTGATAAGTAACCAATCCGTAGTGGATCTGTCATAATCTCGGGTTAGTCGTTTTTACATTTATTAAACAATAAAAAATTCTGCATAAAAAGCAGCAGCAATAATATATATGAAAAAAAACGCTAACTCCTAAAAACACCAGCACCATTTGCATGATACATTATACCTTTCATTGCCTAATTAGTGGTTAGGGTGTGAATAGATAAGTATTAAAGCACTTTTAAACTCCTAAAAGAGAAAGTGGGCTAAAAAAAAGTTTAAGTCCTGAAGTCGGTTAAAATTCAAGAGTTAAAATAAATTTGGTTTTTCCTATAGAATTTTCATTAATTTTTAAAAAAAATATTATTTATATATATATAAAAAATTATATATTTTATTCGATAGTCTAATATAATGTAATTTTATTATTTTTAAATCAATATTTTATATTATATTTATTATTGTTACTAAATAAAATATAGGGTTAAATATGTTTTTAGTCCCTAAACTATTGGTCGTTTCTGGTTTTCGTCCCTCTTCCAAAGTAAGGTACAATTTGTTCCTCATTCTTTAGAAAAACGTTCGTTTTAGTCCTCAAAATTTTGTTTTTAGTCCTCGTTTTAGTCATCAAAACGTTCGTTTTTTCGACTAAAATGAACGTTTTTTAAAGATTGAGGACTAAATTGTACCTTACTTTGGAAGAGGGACGAAAACCAGAAACGGTCAATAGTTTAGGGACTAAAAACATATTTAACCCTAAAATATATAATATATAATTTAATATATTAATTTTATCAATTTACTAAAAAAGAAAATTTTAAACATTCAATAAAACAATACATTTTGATAAAGTTCCAAATATAAAAAAAAAATTAAGTCTAGCTAAAATGTGATAACGTTGAACTAAATTTAATAAAATTTATACTAAAGTTTTTTTTATAATTACTAAATATATATATATATATATAATTAAAAATTAATAATTGATAATTTAAGTATAAATTTAAGTCATACATAAAAAAATAAAAAAATAAACAACAAAAAAAGAAAAAAATAAACATCATATAATTAAAAAAATCCATAAACTTATTATTTATAAATTCATTATTTTAAACTTTCAAATTGAAATATCTATCTTTTTTATTTTTTATTTAAGTTTAGATGAATTTTCCGTACAAAAGAAATTAAATTAATATCTTATATAGTTTTAAAATATGTTTATTCAGTCAAGAAAAATTAAATATGTTTAGTTAGTTAAAAATTCTAAGTTCTTGATTTTTTTATATAAACAAGTAATCAAGTTTATTGAATCCCCTTACAAAATTTTTATTAGTCTGATAAAAATATTTGTATATAATTTTTAACAAATTAAAAGGATTTAGATTTATGATAAATTAAGAATTAATTGCATTTAAAATGAATATTTAAAAAAAACTCATGGGTTGGTTCTGACTCAAAGGACTTCTATTAATATTTTTATCCGTAAACTTTTTCAATAAAAAACTTTTTAATCCTATAAATTTTTCTAACACTAACCATGTGAATGAGATCAAACCTAGTGAGCCAAATTAATATATTTATTAGTATTATACTTTATCATCCAAAAATAGCTAAGTTCCAATTAACAACCAAACAAAATATATTTGACTTCTTTTAAACAATTTTAAGTATTAAAATGTTTATTTTAATGTAAAGTTGGTAGTATTACAAACCGAAAAAGCCAAAAATCGAATTTAAGAAATATTTAAATTCAATATATTGCTTATTATGGTTCTATTTGCATATGGTTGGATGAAATATTTTAGATACCAATGTCAAAACATCATCAAATTAAACTCCAAACTTTTTGCTTATTTCTTTTCACTTTCATTTTCTATCTTAATCTATCAATTTAACTACAAAAAATATACTTATCTGAGCCATGTTTCTTTTAATAAAGTAAATTGTATCGAATGAAATATGGACCGAACGGTTATTGAATAAGGCCGATCGGTCTATCCGCCATTGGTCAACCTGGTCAAATGGTTTGGGCTGTAATTGGACCTATGGCGCTAATAAGCTACTTCAAGGGTGTTGCTGCCTCCACCACCACAGTCTTCTTACTATACCTTCCCAATTTATTTTTTTTCCAAAAATATCATTAGGTTAAATTTTTTTTACTTTTACCATTAACTTTTTATATTTTTAATTAAATACCCTAATTCAATACCTCATTCCAGTGCACACCACCCCCTCCCCTCCTATTTTCCTTCTCTTTCCTTTCCATCACCCATACCCATCCTTCCCCCTTTCTTCTCCGTCCCCCCCTAACCCCCCCCCCCCCCCATTCTCCTTCTCTTTTCCTTTTCCATTTCCATCACCCATCCCCCTTCCCTTCTTTTCTTTCTCTTTTTCATTTCCATCACCCATTCTCACACTTTTATGTAAATGTGTACTGGTAAGGCCGAAACGGATGTGGAAATCCGTTCGGCCTTAAGCGGACATGGATATCCGTTAACTGATGTCCGTTGAATGTTGGATCTTCTATTTTCGTTTACTTTTTTTAACGTTTTAAACATGGTAATTCAATTTTTACTGAAGGACAATTGTGGAATGGGGTGGTGCAGGAGAAGATTCGTGGTGGTACAGGGAGCAACACCCCTACTTCAAATGGTAATTGGGCCAGCGCTTAAGTTGTTACTGGCCAATAATCCAGCAGAAGATAAAATAAAAGATATCTTATTAAAGATATTCATAAGAGCAACCAACCGGATTTTAGGGTAAGTCTGTTTATATTTTATTAGGCTCGTGATAACCTATAAATACATGGTTAAGGCTACAAGTCAGGTACGTTTCGTTCACGTTCCACTTACATTCTACTAACATTCAACTCATGTTCTAAAATATTCAAACAGTGATAATTATTTACTAAATACTCAACCAAAAGCCGAGACTCTTCAAATCACACGCCGTCCCAACTTTCGGAGGAAGACGCGTCTTTCTCTCTATCCGAAAATGTCTACAGAAACAAAACATTTATTTTCATTTCTTCGTTAAGGAAGATGTATATTAAACTATTTATGAAGATCTGCACTAAAATAATACAAGACCAATCATTTCATCTAGTTTTAGAAAAACAAAATCATTTCAGTCATAAAACTACCACGTATGTTTGTTAACCATTAAAATAAGGGATTAACCCTTTTTCTGTCTTACACAACTTAAAATCAAAAGCACACTAATAAAGAATTTTATTAAGTGTTATTTTTTCATGAGGAATGTGCTTATTTTAAATTAATTATGTTAATAATTTTAATAAATATATGTATTATATAATCTATCCAATATGTATGTTATTTTTATTATTACTTATTTAAAAAATTTAGATAATGTAATATTAAAACAGAATAAACTATAAATAAGTTAACATCTTAAAGTCTTATATATTATATTAATTTATATTGTTATATCTGTATATATTATCAAGAATTAATTTACTTAAATTATGATATTAAAGTCTGGTTAATTAACAACAATTAGTGGATAAATTTTGTTGATGGAAAACAGGACAGAAACTACGAAAGAAAATGGCAGGAATACTGACATGCGAAAATCTGAGGTCTGGATACTGACATGGGCAATGACAAGAACTTATATGTCAATACAATAGTAAAATAATACCGAACCAGAACAACAAACACAGAATCAGGCCAATCCTATAAATTAATGAAATGATAGAACTTAATTAACGAAAAATAACAAATACAAATGGATAATGGACACGCACAATACAACACTCGCAGAGGAAGCAATAATTAATCAAATTCGATGTCTCCGATGCATGATCTTGTCTAGAACTTGGACTGTAGATAGTTGATGGTAGTCTTGTCCAAATGGAAAGCCTTAGCAAGAACATCGCT